AGTCTTGAAATTCTTAACAAGTTGAATTGAGTTTTGTTTTGTTTTGTTGTTTGAGACAGGGTCTTGCTCTGTTGCCCAGGCTGGAGTGCCATGGTGCCATCTCTGCTCACTGCAGCCTTGACCTCCCAGATTCAAGCAATTCTCCAGCCTTAACCTCCCAAGTAGCTGGGATTACAGGCATGTGCCATCACTCCCGACTAATTTTTTTTTTTTTTTTGGTATTTTTAGTAGAGATGGTGTTTTATCATGTTGATCAGGCTGGTCTCGAACTCCTGACCCTGTGATCCACCTGCCTTGGCCTCCCAAAGTGTTGAGATTACAGGCATGAGCCACCATGCCCGGCCCCCAGTCATGTTCTTAATGAGGGTACACAGTGGCCTCTCACCTGCTGCCTGCTACGTCATGCCCTTGGCTGCCCCTTTCCTTTCTGGGACTCACTGTCAGTCCCCTTGGCCTCAAAGGAATGCAGTGCCAATGCCTGGTGGGTACTGAGAGGGGCGCTGTGGTGGTGATAGTGGGGCCTCCTCAGAGTGTTCTGGGGGAGGGCAACCACCAATCCTCGCTTTGGTCACACCGCTCTCCCTTGGCCCCTGGGCCTAGCACCTAGTCTGTGGGTTGTCAGAGCTGTCTCCCAGAGCCCAATCTGAAGTGGCAGGGATATGGGGAAGGTGGTGGCACTGGGGAGGCCTGTGATGGACCTGGAGGGCTTTAGGGGGAGCCACAGCCTTCCAGTTTTCAGCTGGACTGAAACAGGACATGCAGAGGTTGCTCACACACTGATCATTCAGAACCCCCTGGATCCTTCCCCTGGGGAAGGAGGTACCCGGATGGTCAGGCCCACCTGCTTCCAGGCACTCCACAGATAGGAGACTTTCCTCCTTGGTTTTAGCAACTGAGGGAGTCAGGGAAGCCTTCCCAGAGGCAGTGACTTTTGTGGTGGGTTTTGAAGACTAAATAGGAGTTTTCCAGGCAGAAAAGAAAGGACTGGTTCTCTGTACGGAGGAAACAACCTGTGTAAAGGGACGAAGCAGTGTTAGGGACTGGGGAAGTTAGTATGGATGATGTGGTGGAAAATGGAGCCGAGTCAGAGACTGGGCAGATCACGCAGGTCTTACGTACTCAGCTAGGGTGTTTAGAATGTAATCCATAGACTAAAGTTTTTAAGCAGGGGAATGACGTGGTTGGAAAGTGACCCTAGCAGCTCTACCAGAGGTTGAACTAAGATGCCACGAATAGTACCCAGGGCATCCCCTGAGTGGTTCCCATGGACCAGAGGGCACAGTGGCCCAGGATCCCATTTTTTCTTTTGGAAAATACTGTGCGGCTTTGTGTGTGCTCTTATTCTGTGGAAGACCTGATTTTTCCCAGAAGTGTGCATCTCAATTCTGTTAACGGAAATCAATGAGAAAACACTATGTGTTTTAACATTTTTGTTTGAGAGCCAGTCTTGCTGAAACACATCGAATCCATACAGGGATGGCCCGTCTTCCTGCCTCCTTTTTCTCAAGATGAGAACGAATTAACTAAAGAATTAAAAGCACACACCAGGTTCAAATGTATGTGTGACTACTTTGTTCTCAAAAAAGAAAAAAAAATTAAGAATTAAAAGCTAGGACCAGGGGTCCCGTTAAGTGATTCTTTAAAAGCCACAGCATTGGCCAGGCGCTGTGGCTCACACCTGTAATCCCAGCACTCTGGGAGGCCGAGGTGGGCGGATCACCTGAGGTTGGGAGTTTGAGACCAGCCTGACCAACATGGAGAAACCCCGTCTCTCCTAAAAATACGAAGTTAGCAGGGCGTGGTGACGCATGCCTGTAATCCGAGCTACTTGGGAGGCTGAGACAGGAGAATCTCTTGAACCTGGGAGGCGGAGGCTGCAGTGAGCCGAGATCATGCCATTGCACTCCAGCTTGGGAAACAAGAGCGAAACTCTGTATCAAAAAAAAAAAAGAAAAAGCCACAGTATCAGGGAGTCAGTGAGCAGAGTGGTTAAGGATACAAGCTGGGCATTTGGCAGAGGGACTGATTCTGGCTGTGTTCCCTACCAGCTGTGGGTCACTGGGCACAGCGCTGAACCTCACTGTGCCTCAGTTTTTTCAGCTGCAAAAGGAAAGGCCTCCTTTTGCCTACATCAAAGAGTTGTTGTGTGAATCAGTGATACGCCCGGAAAGGCACAGTGCCTGATACAGGGACATGCGATGAGGTGGAAGTGCTTGGTTTCGACACACAGAGCAACCCTGAACTGAATGAGCACCTAAGCCCGTTGCTGTCCCCATGTGCTGTGACGTGACATCTCTTTGCCCAGCTTTCCTTCTTTCTTTCAAAGATACCACCAGGCCCCGAAAGAGCCATGAGAAGGAAGGAGTGGAGTATCACTTTGTGTCTAAGCAAGCATTCGAGGCCGACTTACATCACAACAAGTAGGTTGCTTGGTGGGCTGGTCGGCCCTCCAGGCAGCTGCGTGTTTTCCTATCTGCCCTGCATTCCACTGGAGCTCCCGGGAGGGCTCCTGGAAAGGATGGGGGAAGCGGGACAGGAGTCCCGTTAGGAGGTCCCCCTTTGCTTCGCTAATTTAGGAAATCTCAGGAACTAAATGTCTTTTCCCCTTTGGTGGCGTTTTAGGTTCCTGGAACATGGTGAATATAAGGAAAATCTCTATGGAACCAGCCTGGAGGCCATTCAGGCTGTTATGGCCAAAAACAAAGTTTGTTTGGTGGATGTGGAGCCGGAAGTGAGTTCCTGGGCCTGCTGGCCATTTCTGGTTAACGGAATTTATATCTAGGGGATTGTAAGTTTTACGTAACAGTTAACCTCAGTCTAAGGAATTTCTAGAACACTGGCTGTTAAGTTTCTTTGAGTCTTCCTTTGAGAATCAAAAGCCTGGTACCCCAAAACATGCCCCTCTATCCACAAATGCTGCGTTCATTTTATGGAGCTCATGGACACTCTGGTGGCTCACAGACCCAGGCTAGTAACCCCTGCATGGAACAGATCACGCAATAGTTGGTGGCGCTGACTGGCCATTGCAATGTGCCAGAGAATTAGATGTCAGTACTCAGGTTTGGCTGGTCATGGTGGCTCACGCCTATAATCCTAGCACTTTGGGAGGCTGAGGTCGGCAGATCACGAGGTCAGGAGTTTGAGACTAGCCTGGCCAACATGGTGAAACCCCGTCTCTACTAAAAGCACAAAAATGAGCCGGGACATATGCCTGTAGTCCCAGCTACTCGGGAGGCTGAGGTAGGAGAATGGCTTGAACCTGGGAGACAGAGGTTGCAGTGAGCTGAGACCATGCCATTGCATTCCAGCCTGGGTGACAGAGTGAGACTCCATCTCAAAAAAAAATAAATAAAAATACACACACACACCCAGGTAAAACTCTCGGTGCCAGGCCTCCCCTTCTCCAGCCAGGGCAGGTGGAGTCAGTGGCTTAGAGAACCACTCAGGGAGGCAGTCAGAAGAGCAGTTTAAAGGGGAAGAAGAGGGAGGGAGACGTGACCCTGTGAAATGCTTCAGAAACATTTCCACTCCTGCATACCAGCATGCTGTGGGCTCAGCAGGGGCTTAACCATCTTTTTAACCTTGTCTTTCATAAAAACTGCCAAGCTTTGCACTCGATCTAGGGACTTTTTTCCCTGTCTATAGACACAGATCTCTGATTTTATGATATAAACTGTAGGCGTTATTTTAAAGAAGTTTGCTTGAAACATATTCCAAAAAGCACGTTATGCCTATAAAGGAAAACGCTCGCTCATTTGGACTTACCGGGAGCCGGTAGTCAAAATTCAAAGTCTGAGTTTGAAAAATTTCTTTGAAAAGTGATTTTATTAATCTTTCGGGTACAGATAATGCATATAACTGTTTCATACTAATGTTTCCAAATGGAGCCCATACATTCTAGATAAAAAGGATTAATCAAGAGTACAATTTCTACAGTCTACAGTTTTGTTTTCAGGTGATCTCTTTGGTAATCTCATTTGCTTTGCAAACTTTCTTCTTTGAATACCAGAAGGAGGTGTGGTAGCACAAATTTGGTAATAGTGTAGTCCAAATTGATGACATTTGACTATATAGATAGACACTGACTCCTGCTTCCTCACCCATCAGGAATGGAAGGTGGAGAGGAGCCTAGAAGGTTAATTATAGCCAGAGGGGTCAGAGCAAAGAGACAGCCACTCTGAGCTGAGGCTTAGGAACCTGCTGTTGGCAGCGAGTGTGCCTTCAGGGCCCCACTGAGTTCAATGTCAAGGTGAAGGACGAGTAAAGGAGCAGTTGGTCTGCCCAGCTGAAGTCCATTGTCATGGGACCCATGTAACCAGGACCTTTGCTGTTGAGGTTATGGAATTGAAGCACATGATTATTGAGCTTTCAAAAGTATATTTCACAATAAAACACTGCAAAAGTATATAATATTCCTGAATTTTCTTTCTCAGGCACTGAAGCAACTGAGGACCTCAGAGTTTAAACCCTATATTATATTTGTAAAGCCTGCAATTCAGGAAAAAAGACAGACGCCACCTATGTCCCCAGCTTGTGAGGACACGGCAGCCCCACTTGTAAGTTTAAAGTTGATTGTTTCTTTTCTGAAGGCCTAAGGGAGGCTGTTGTTACAGGAACGCTTCTAACTGCATAAGGGTGCTTGCAGCTGAAGAGGGACACAGGACACACACGATTCTTTCCATTTTGTCTATTGAAAGACTTAGAGAAGATGATCACATGGCCAGAAGGCCCAAGGTGGACAGCTGGAAGTGCCTGCCAGACCAGGCTGGTGGCTTTGCCTGTGCTCACGCCCCTCCACTCCCTCACATAAGCACCCTTCCCTCCCTCACATAAGCACCTTTCCCTGAAATATGACACCTCAGGGACCTCATCTGAGTGTGACCAGACTACACTCATAAAGCTACATGCCTAGACCAAACTCAAGTTTTTGTTTTTTTTTCTTTTTTTGAGATGGAGTCTTGAACTGTCACCCAGCTGGAGTACAATGGCGAGATCCCAGCTCACTGCAACCTCCACCTCCCGGGTTCATGCAATTCTGCCTCAGGCTCCCGAGTAGCTGGGATTACAGGCACCCACCACCACACCTGGCTAATTTTTTGTATTTTTAATTGAGATGGGGTTTCACTATGTTAGACTGGTCTCGAACTCCTGACCTCGTGATCCGTCTGCCTCGGCCACCCAAAGTGCTGGGATTACAGGTGTGGGCCAGCATGCTCAGCCCAAACCCAAGTATTTTTAATTGAAGCCCCAACTAACAAGGTCATTATCATTGCTTTCAAACCAGTTTGAATCACCAGTGAGTGAAGAGATTTCTAAAACTAGTGGATGAGATCATCTGATGTGTCCTAAATGAACTTCTGTTTCGCTGTCACAGATTCTTTGTTCAGCCCAGTCTATGTCAGGCTGGTGGGACCCTCACCCAAAGCCTAAATATTTGACAGGATTCTTCCAGGAGGTCTGGGCTTGGTGACTCATCTTTTTTGGTCCTTAACAGGGTCAGTTAGCAGAATGAGCTGGAAGTTATGGGTGGTAGGGGCAGTCAGAAACAACTCAGTCCCAGAGTAGGCTTTGCCTGCTGTCCTGTACAGCTGGTTCATCGGAAGGAAGCCCTCTCAGATCCTTCCCCCTGGTCAGGAAGCTCCAAGTCAAGATTTTGTTGCAATCCTAGTTCATACTAATTCTGTTTTAACTGTCCACATTGATAAATTTTTTATTTTATATTTTATTTTTAAAGACAGGGTCTCACTATGTTGTCTAGGCTGGTCTTGAACTCCTAGTCTCAAGTGATCATCCCACCTTGGCCTCCCAAAGTGCTGGGATTACAGGTGTGAGCCACTATGCCCAGGCTTTTATTTTTTTTTTTGGACAGGGTCTTGCTGTGTCGCCCAGGCTGGAGTGCAACGGTGCAATCATAGCTCACTGCAGCCTTGAACTCCTGGGCTCATGCAGTCCTCCTTCCTCAGCTTCCTAAGTAGCTGGGACTACAGGCATATACCACCAATACCCAGCCAATTAAAAAAAAAATTTTTTTTAAATAGAGACAGGCTGTCTCTGTGCTGCTCAGGCTGTTTCAAACTCCTGGCCTCCAATGATCCTCCTGCCTTAGTTTTCCAAAATGTTGGAATTACAGATGTGAGCCACCATGCCTGGTTTCAGTAAGTTATTTAGAATGGCATACATACAAGGAACATTGGAAATTCTTTCCTGGGCCAGGCACGGTGGCTCATGCCTGTATCTCAGCACTTTGGGAGGCTGAGGCAGGCAGATTGCTTGAGCCCAGGAATTCAAGACCAGCTTGGGCAACTTGGTAAAACCCTGTCTCTGCAAAAAAAAAATTACAAAAATTAGCCAGGTGTGGTGGCACACACCTGGCTAATTTTTAGGATCACTTGAGCCTAATTGGTCAAGTCTGCAGTGAACTATGACCATGCCACTGCACTCCAGCCTGGGTGACAGAGTGAGACTCTGTCTCCAAAAAAATAAAAAATAGAAAAAAGAAAAAAAGAATTTTTATCTTTTAAGTGGGGAGGCCGGGCATGGTGGCTTACCCCTATAATCCCAGTACTTTGGGAAGCCAAGGCAGCCAGATCACCTGAGGTCAGGAGTTTGAGACCAGCCTGGCTAACCTGGTGAAACCCCATCTCTGCTAAAAATACAAAAATTAGCCAGGTGTGGTGGCGCACCTGTAATCCCAGCTACTCCAGAGGCTGAGACAGGAGAATTGCTTGAACCCAGGAGGCAGAGGCTGCAGTGAGCTGAAATCGTGCCACTGCAGTGTCTAGCCTGGGTGACAGAGCAAGACTCCATCTCAAAAACAACAACAACAACAACAACAACAACAACAACAAAAACTCAAAGGGGAATATCAACTTAGGTCTAGAATCATTTAGAAACATTCAGTATTGGCCGGGTGTAGTGGCTCACGCCTGTATTCCCAACACTTTGGGAGGCTGAGGCGGGTGGATCACCTGAGGTCAGGAGTTTGAGACCAGCTTGACCAACGTGATGAAACCCCATCTCTACTAAATACAAAAAATTAGCTGGGCCTGGTGGTATACACCTGTAATTCCAGCTACTTAGGAGGCTGAGGCAGGAGAATCGCTTGAACCTGGGAGGTGGAGGTTGCAGTGAGCCAAGATCATGCCATTGCACTCCAGCCTGGGCAACAAGAGCGAAACTCCATCTCAAAAAAAAGAAAGAAACGTTCAGTATGGTTATCATGGTGGTTGATGGTGATAGCTATACCCAGAAAATCAGAAACAACCTAAATGTTCAGTAGCAGAACTCAGTTCAATATACTACATTATATGCTACTTACATGATATATTGATATATTATAGCCAGTTAAAAGCCATGTGTTGGGGCTGGGTGTGGTGGCTCACACCTGTAATCCCAGCACTTTGGGAGGCCGAGGTGGGCAGATCACCTGAGGTCAGAAGTTCGAGACCAGCCTGGCAAACATGGCGAAACCCCATCTCTACTAAAAATACAAAAATTACCTGGGTGTGGTGGCAGATGCCTGTAATCCCAGGTACTTGGGAGGCTGGGGCAGGAAAATCACTTGAACCTGGAAGGCAGAGGTTGCAGTGAGCTGAGATCATGCCACTGCACTCCAGGCTGGGCAACAGAGTGAGACTCCATCTCAAAAAAAAAAAATAAAAACGAAAAATAAATAAAAAAAAGCATGTGTTGGAGGAATATTTGATGACATAGCCAAATACAAGAAAATGAAAATCAGAAAATAAAAAATCAGGATTCTAATTTTGTATCACACACAAAGAAAGCACACTAAAATGCTAAAGGCAATTCTCCCTGAATAGTGGGCTCATGACTAATTTTTGTTTTCTGTGTTTTACTGTGTGCTTTTTGGAGGGGAGTTAACAGCTTTATTGAGATAAAATTTACATACCGTATAATTCACCCATTTAAAGCATACAATTCAATGATGTATTCACAGAGTTGTTGCAACTACCACAGTCAATTTAAGAGCATTTTCATCATCTCAAAAAGAAACCTTGAGCCCATTAGAATTTCCTATTATCTGTTTGCCTCCCTCCCCTCCCTAGCCACAGGCAACTGCACCCGCGAATCTACTATCACTGCAAATTTGTCTGTGCTAAACATTTCATATAAATGGATTCATACAATATAAGACCTTTTATATCTGGCTTTTTTCACTTAGTGTTTTTAAGGTTCATGTATCAATACTTCATTCTTTTTTTTTTACAGCTGAATAATATTCCATTGTACAGAGTATCACATTTTGTTTATCCATTTATCAATTAATGGACATTTAGATTGTTTCTTCCTTTTCAGCTATTATGGATCATGGTATGAATATTCATATACAAGTTTTTGTGTGAACATATGTTTTCATTTCTCTTGTGTGTATACCTTGGTATGGAATTGCCGGGTCATAGGGTAGCTCTATGTTTAACATCCGGAGGAACTGCCAGACTCTTCCATGGCAGCTGTACCATTTTACATTCTCAGCAGCAGTGTTCAGGTTCCCATTTCTCCACATCCTCACCAGCACTTGTCTTTTTTTTTTTTTTTTTTTTTTTTTTTTTTTGCGACAGGGTCTCCTTTTGTTGCCCAGGCTGGAGTGCAATGCTGTGATCTCAGCTCACTGCAACCTCTGCTTCCTGAGTTCAAGCAATTCTCCTGCCTCAACCTCCTGAGTAGCTGGGATTACAGGCGTGCGCCACCACACCTGGCTAACTTTTGTATTTTTAGTAGAGACAGGGTTTCACCATGTTGGTCAGGCTGGTCTCGAACTCCTGACTTCGTGATCTGCCCACCTCAGCCCCCGCAAAGTGCTGGGAATACAGGCGTGAGCCACCGTGCCCGGCCATTGTCTGTCTTTTTAATTATAGCACTACTAGTATATGTGAAGTGGTATCTCATTGTGGTTTTAATTTGCAGTTCTGTAATGATCAGTGATATTGAGCATCTTTTCATGTTTTTATTGGCCATTTTTATATCTTTCTTAGAGAAATGTCTATTCAAATACTTCGTCCATTTTTAAATGGAATTATCTTTTTTATTATTGAGTTATAAGAATTCTTTATATATTTTGGATATAAGTCCCTTATCAGATGCATGATTTGCAAATATTTTTTCCTGTTCTTTGAGTTGTCTTTTCATTTTCTTTCTTTTTTATTTTTTCTTTGAGACAGAGTTTCATTCTTATTCCCCAGGCTGGAGTGCAATGGTGTGGTTTTGGCTCACTGCAACCTCCACCTCCCGGGTTCAGGTGATTCTCCTGCCTCAGCCTCTAAGTAGCTGGGATTACAGACACGCACCATCATGCCCGGCTAATTTTTATTTTATTTTTTGTATTTTTACTAGAGATAGGGTTTCACCATGTTGGCCAGGCTGGTCTCGAACTCCTGACCTTGGGTGATCCACCTGCCCTCAGCCTCCCAAAGTGCTGGGATTACAGGCATGAGTCACCACACCTTGCTCTTACTTTTCTTGATAGTATCCTTTGAGGCATAACATTTTAAAATTTGATAAAGTCCGATATATCTATTTTTTCTTTTGTTGCTTATTTTTGGTATCATATCTAAGAAATCATTGTTAAATTCAAGATCATAAAGAAATACTCCTTTGTTTTCTTTTAAGATATTTATAGTTGCGGCAGTTACATTCAGGTCTATCATCTATTTTGTGTTATTTTCTGTGGATTGTGTGAAGTAGGGGTCCAACTTCATTCTTTAAATGTGAATAGCCAGCTAACGCAGCACCATTGGCTGAAAAGACTATTCTTTTCTCATTTAATTATCTTGACACCCTTGTCTAGAATCAAGTGGAAAGAAAGCAAGGGTTTCTTTCTGGAGTCTCAGTTCCATTCCACTGGTCTACATGTCTGTTCTTAGCCCAGCACCACACTGTCTTACTTTGATTACTAGCTTTGTAGTAAGTTTTGAAGTCAGGTTTTTCAAGCTTGTTTTGGCTATTCTGGGTCCTTTGCATTTCCATATGAATTTTAGGATCAGTCTGTTTATTTGTTTTACCATATTTGTTTTGTTTTACAAATATTTCAGGATTGAAAGAATTTAATAAGCAGGGGGGAAGGGCTCATTTTTCAAAGAGTAAATAAGTTATTGGGAGAATAAGAGGCAGCTTCCTAGGGCCCGGGGAAAGTTCCGGCAAATCATCAGGTCCACAGGAAGTGCCAGCTTTCTAGGAGGCAGAACCCTCCCTGGCCCATGGTGGTTATTTCAAGAGAAGCAGCTGCATTCTATTCCCAGTGTCCTTCGAGCCTGGGAGGTTTTGTCGTCTGTCCCACCTCCTTTGTTGCCCACCAGAGTGCTGCAGTCCAGCAGGTGGGGTGATGATGAAATGCAGCTGGCCCATACGTGCTGCACCACCCTGCAGCTGTGACTAGGCAGCAAGGTCACAGTGAGGCTGTTCAACAGAGTCCCTGGTTCTACTCCCAGAGATTCCAACCTAGGGGGTTTGGAGTGGGGCCCAGGCACTCCATTTTTAACATACAGCCTTTCATGTGGTTTTGATGTATGTTGGCAGACCCCAGATGACATCTGGAGAAATTCCCCACAAAGCCTCGAGTTTTGTGTGACATTAAATATCTGTCCATTGTTTGGCACCTGGTTGTGGTCCCAAAACACCCTTTGGGTACATCCTCTGTCCGTCTCCTTGATGACCACAAGTTAACGGGGCTTCTGGCTTCTGAGCCAGCAAGCCAATTCAGCCTGGGGGTGACGGATGGCATGGGGGGATCTTTCCTATGTGAGCTTCAGGACCATGACCATTGCTGAAGACACAGGCGGGCGAGTTCCATCTTTACAGGCCAGGAAAGGGGTTCAGGGGATTTACGACTGCAAAGCAAATGTCACACATTTTACCCCATTAGAGATTTACTTAAGTTCTTTCCAGATGCAGATGTTTGTTAGGAAGATTGCGAGTTTTCGTGGCAAAAATTTTCCTTTTATAATTTCTCAAATAGCTAAATGCTTCCAGGATAATCCATGTGGGTACCTGGAGGAGGGGAAACTGGAAGCAGCAGACAGGTCTATAGGATGGGTGTATGTCAGGGAGTGGGGAAGGTGGGGTTGAAGAGCCAGGGGGCAGTTATGGGACAGTGCAAAGCACTTCTGAGTATGAAAATAACCCTGCAAGAATATTCCATATAGAACTGGGAAGTGTCTCCCAATTTAATCCAGTTTTTTCTCTCCTAGAGGAGAGAAGGAGAAGTTATCTCGCCTTCTCTTACATTTCTACTATCTTTGAAGTCACGATCTTGAGGACTCAAATCCTGAAATTTCAGATGCTTTTACTAAAGTAGGAATTGGGTTTTGACTGGTGACAGAGAGAAGGGGGGGATATTTTGGAATGTAGATCTCTTTGGGAAAGAACAGAATTCACCCTTTCCCTGTGGCAGCATGATAACATGGAGCCCCTGGAAGCAGAGGGGAGAAGGCAGCAGAGGACTAGAAAGGGAAGTAGGTGAATGCCAGTGACAAATCTCATTTTATAATTTTATTTAGAATGGACCTGCCACTTTCCTGTTTTCCAAAACCAGGCTAATTGTCAGACAACCACCAACCTGAAATAATATGTATTAGAGGTTCTTTTGAATGAAGCAAACAGTGCCCACATGGGGTGATGGAGTTGTTGCCTATACCTTAATGTTAGGTGTCAGGAAAGCAATCTCATTAAAGGGATCAGTTGCTCTAAGGAAATGGGGAATTTGATTAGAATTGTCCAGGGCTTTCTTAAATAACTCCACTTTGCTGTGCTAGTGTTTGGCTCTGGCGTGAGGAAATGAAAAATTGAGTTCTACACTATGAATTTAGGAGTCTTCAGGAGGGCATTAGAATGATTTTCCCCCAGTTGATTGTAGAAATGCTTGCTCTGTTTTTATATAGTTAATATTTGTAGTTCTTTCTTAAAATTATTTAATCTGTATACTAATTGCCGTGCAGCACAGTACTACTACTTTGGAAGTACTTCTGAGGCAGGAAGTGTGATATTGACATATATACACAGATATAGAATCAGCATCCCCAGTGTACTTCCTACCATGGCTTTCAGCTCATAGGTCCTCAGGAGGTATTCTGTGAGTGATGACTGAACAGTGATTGTGTCTACTGCCCGTTAACTTTCTTTGAAGTTTGACACAATGTTGTCCCTATGCTCTGTTCTTGTGTACATGGTTGGTTATCAGTGGGAGCTAGTCATCCACTCATCAATTAAATGTTGGGGCCAGGCATGGTGGCTCACGCCTGTAATCCCAGCACTTTGGGAAGTCGAGGCAGGTGGATCACGAGATCAGGAGTTCAAGACCAGCCTGGCCAAGATGGTGAAATCCATTCTCTACTAAAAATACAAAAATTACCTGGGTGTGGTGGCAG